TATTTCAACGTTATTTATTTTTGGGACAGAGAGAGACAGAGCATGAACGGGGGAGGGGCAGAGAGAGAGGGAGACACAGAATCGGAAACAGGCTCCAGGCTCTGAGCCATCAGCCCAGAGCCTGACGCGGGGCTCGAACTCCCGGACCGCGAGATCGTGACCTGGCTGAAGTCGGACGCTTAACCGACTGCGCCACCCAGGCGCCCCCATCTACATTTTTTAATCAGCATTTGCCATACAACACTTTGAGGAAATGGTGGAATCCAAAAAACTAAAGGAGCAATATTAGGAAATTACAGTCCTATAAAGGTTGCTAATTCAGTCTCCATTACATTTGGTAAATTTTGGCAATAGTATATACTGAACACTAATATTTGTCAATAAGTAACACTTTTCTTCTGCCTTTTTTTTTTTAAAGTAATCCCTATGCCCAACGTGGGGCTTGAACTCACAACCCTAAGATCTAGAATCGCATGCTGTACTGAGCCAGCCAGGTGCCCCTCTTGTGTTTTGTTCTTAACATCCATAGCTTATACTTGACATCTTACAGCTCATAGGCCCATACTTCTTTCTCTCACTTGAACTGTAGCTTGTACACATGCCTATGTAACATCTCCACCCTGGGTGTCTTACAGGTTCTTCAAGGTTAATATTTCCAAGGTGGAATTCTTGATTCACCACCACCACACCTAACACCTAAATCTTCTCTTCCCTCATCATCCTTACATGATGCAGCATCCTTGATTCCTCTCTCTCCTCCCACACTCGATTTGTCAAGTTTTGCTGGCATAACTTCTAAAGTGTATCTTGATTCTGGCCACTTTTTCTTTATTGCTACCATCCTACTAGAAGCCACCATTTTCTCTCCCAGCCCTCAGTGGCATCCCTGCTAGATTCCCCGTGGCCCTTCAGTACACAGCAGCCAGAGTGATCCTTTAAAAACCCAGATGGTTATATTCCTTTGCCTAAAACCCTTACTGGCTTCATTTCTATCTGACACTTCAAATGGAATCTCTAGGAAGCAAGGACCTGTCTATCTCATTCCTCACTGTCTGTCCAGTACTTGGCATTTAGTGAGTCCCAATAAATGTCTCCAGAGAATGAACAAACATTGTTCACTTTCTTTCTTTTTATAAGACCTAGCTATGACTTTTTAAAAACTGGTCTTAGAGTAAATAACGATTGTATCTAAATTTATGTGTAAGTTGTTTGATTTTCATAATTCTACAAATAGATAGCCTTGGCGATACCCAGGATACAAATGAAAATGGGAAAGGTGATCCTCAGAAAGACACATACAACAAAGCTGGGACTAGTTCTGACTGTGAAAAACAAGGCCTTACACCCTCAGAACCTAAACCGTTGGCTGAGAGCAAGGAAGAGATAGCAAAAATTGAGAGAGAGGATGGACTCACACCGCAGCCAGGTGATGGTAAGTCTCATTTCCATTTCCAGTGTTCTCACTTAGAGGATACTGTGAGTAGATTTGTGACTACTACCATGTTGCAGAGTCTTTGTATTCCCATTTATATTAAAAATACAGCCATTTGGAACCAATCCTTAAACAGCAGATGGCTGGAGGAACAGAGCTATGGGCACTCAGATACAACACAGAGAGCAAAGCCGACCTGTCGCTTCACATGCTGCCCCCAGCCCGTGGCCCAGCCTCATCCGAGCCAGGCCCGTCCACGCAAGAGGCAGTGGTTCTGGTATTTAGGAGGTTCTTTGGAGAAAACAGTAAAGATTGACAGATTATTAACAGCCACTTGACAGATAATGATCGTTTGCACATGAAATTTCTTTTAAATGTCTACAATTCATTGGTATATTTTAAATGTAGGGTGTTGTTTTTTTTTTTTTTTTAAGAAAATGTTTTTAAGGCACATAATGTCAAGACAGTATGACTCATGACTACACTTGGAGCCAGCCATGTAGTGTTTGGATTTATTTACTTTTTGGTTGCTTCCACTCATTACGTAGAGCTATGATGGTTGGCACCTACCAGCCCGTATGTCAGACATCACTATCTTTACGGGCCGGCTGGCCAGAGTTTGTGGGTACTTTGGGGTTCTTCTCTTTTCTTTTTTTTTAGTAGGAACATTTTGTTGTTTTTGTTTGTTTGCTTGCTTATTTATTTACTTTGAGAGAGAAAGAGAAAACCTAAGCGGGGGAGGAGCAGAGAGGGAGGGAGGGAGGGAGGGAGGGAGGGAGAGAGAGAGAATCCTAAGTAGGCCCCATACCCAGTGCAAGCCTGACACAGGGCTCAGTCTCATGAAATGTGAGATCAGGACCTGAGCCCAAATCAAGAGTCAGATGCTTAACCAACCGAGACACCCAGGTGCCCCTGGGGTTGCTAATCGGTTAGTGACCATAGTAACCCACAGATTGAGGTTCTCATTATAACAACCCCAAAGCGACTGGGAATGGACAGTTGAACTTTTTCTTCTAAGTCAGTTCCTGTTAAACACAGATACAATTCAGAATCAGATTCATAGCTTAAAAATGAAAAGTTCATTTAAGAATTTCTGAGCTCAGGGCATCCTCCTGTCTTCTTCCCTCAGCCTTCCTTCCCTCTGATTCCTCAGGGTCTTCTCAGAGAATATCTTGGGATGGCCCCTGGTTTAGGTGTGTTAATGTTAACAGTCTTTAGGTGTGGTCTGAGGCAGGGCATTTCTTTCATAACTCTGGTTTCCTTCTTTCCTTCCAGCACGTCTTGCCTCAAGTGCTGATGATGTTCTTGTTGTAGGACAGCATGTGGCTCACTGGACTAAACATCAGACCCAGAACAAACAACTGGCAATTGTTATCACCTCCTGGGCCATGAGTCTCTTCATCTGTGGCAGGGATATTCTGGCTTGTTAGTTGTAAATTGGTCCATTGATGAAGGCATATGTTAGCTCTACTTACACATACCTTTCAGAAATCACTAGCTAGACCTTTTTAAACTCTGCCAGTGAAAATTCCACTGGCCTCATCTACTCCAGACAATGCCAGCTTTTTCCCCATACCTGCCCCCTTCCTTTTGTTTTGTTTTGGGTTTTTTTTTTTTTTGACTTATCAGATCACTGGGCTGAGAATTTCATACAAGCAATAAGCTTCACATCTCCCTGCTAACATGGATTTCCATGAAAAACAAACAGAAGAAAAAGGAGGCACACTATGTTAAAGTGTTCATTCAATCCACATAAGCTCTTAGAACTGGAGTGGTATGTGCTTTGCGGGGACTGAGGTTTTGTTCTAACTGGAACTCCAGGGATCTGGAAGGATGGCTGGGTCTTCACAAGATGTGTCCTCTGTAGTCCCAAGCCATTAAATTACATTTCAGGGAAACAATGAAAAGAGAAAGACGTTCCCCCATGTAGCCTCTGGTTACCAAGAATATCAGCTGATTCAGAATCAATCCTCTAATACTTTTTATCAAAGAATGACTTCTGATCTTTAAACATGAATGCATTAGCCATGGTTCTTCAAAAGATCTGAAGGCAGTGATTATACATTGCACTTGTTTTATGTACATTAAGAAAGAAAATCTAATTAACTATGACTTAATATCTTAATGATAGCCCAGACCAGGTCATAGCTCCCTCCGTTGCTTTGCTATTTCTTTCATTTGCCCTGAGGGATGTGGCGGTTTCTCCTGCCTTCATTTGCTGTGCTTGGCAGGTGATAGGCAGCCCTTTTGCACATCGCAGTATCCAGATGTGAGAGAGTGCCCGCTATCTACAGGGATCTCCTTTTCTGAAGTCCCATAAAGCACTGGCTTACTCATTTGCAAGAATATAAAAAATGTTGGCTGTTCCTCCAGTGATACATATTTACTTCCTTAAATATCAAATTTATTCTCTCCTACTTTATATCTAAAATTTTTTTCATATACATGATAGCTTCTCATTTCAATACCAAATCAGAGAGAAGCATTTTGAAAACCTTTTAGAAGTAATTAAACTCAACTCATGTAGTAACAACAAGGCACTTGACTCGAGCGTGGTGTTGAAGTAACAACACCACAGTAGTCACGACTAAGCCCATGCGTGCTTGGGCCTTGCCAGCTACTTCACATCTGCCACCTGGCCAGCAATGATTGTAAAATGCCACACTTATTGGCCTGTAAGATGTGCCAGTTTCAGAGATGTTAATGTGTGGGAAGAATGGACATTTTTGAATTCATGAAATACAGGAATACTCCAAGTTTGTAAAGTAACCAGTGCCTTGAGTAGAAAAATTAAAATATGATGACATTGCCAAGCAGAATGACAAAGCATAGACTTCCAGATCTGGGGAAACACTTTAAAAGGTCACTGAGGGAAAAATAAAATAAAATTAATGATAATAATAATAATAATAATAATAATAAAAGTCATTTAGGAACTGTGGCAGAGGTTAAGGGCACAGGCTCCGTAGCCACATGACTGGCCGTAAGTCCTCTTACTGGCGGTATGACCTTGGGCAAGTTAATGTGCCTCAGTTTTCTCCTCTGTAAAATGCACTATTTATTTCTGAGAGGTGTTAAGATATATAGTTAGAACAATGCCTGGCACATTGTAAGGACTTGATAAGTGTTAACTATAATTATTTAGATCCATTTTGATAACCCTGTTCTACAGAATATATTGGTCAGTGAGACCCAGAAGTGATAAATAAAAGGAGATTATCAGAAAAAGAGTTCATGCACATTCATCTTCTTTTGTGAATGTGAAGCACCGGGCCGTAGAGAATCTGGCATGCAGGTGGCCTCTCACAAAGCTGAATTGCTGTCAAACCAAAATGGTGCTCCTTCTGTCTCAAAACCGCTCTAGCAAAATGTCTAGATTCTAGACTTCTTAAGACTAATAACAACTTTTGGTGGCAGGAAATTCTCCCTCATACCTAACTCCTGTCTTCTCAGCTAATTGTGGATTTGTTTCTCTCTTGTGGGGTCATTAGCAAAAGTACAAAGCAACTGGTTCCCATATAGGCCAGTATGGTCTTAGATGGCCTATCATGGTATTTTTATTTCAAGCCCAGACATGTGTCCTTTGTGAAATATGATGATATATTTTATATAGCTCTTCCATTCTAACCCACAGAAGATTAAAATAAACTATTTTGGATAGAGAGGAGGTAAGCCTTCAGGTTCTTTTTTATCTTCTTTATTAGAACAGTTGAAGATCCCAGACAGTTTGCCAGTGTACGATACCTTAATGTTCTGTGCAAGTAAGAATACTGACCGGATTCACCTCTATACTAAGGTAAGCATCATGGGGATTCTACAGCTTAAAACGTACAGAAGCCTTCCTTTTTTTCATTTTTCAGTGGATATATTTACTGTTATTAACAATGAGATAGGCATCGAGTTCTTTTCCTCCTTAAAGCTAATTCGAAAATTTCTTTGTTAAATCTAAAAACAGTGAAAGGCAAAACAGCATAGTAGTTAAAAGCACAGACTTCAGGGCTGAATTGCCTCAAATCACATCTGTTACTGAGTATGGGATCTTGAACACATTACTTAACTACTCTGTGCCTCAGTTTTTGCAACTGGAAAACATGGAAAGGAGTTGTTACAAGGGTAACATAAGCTAATTCCTATAAATCACTTAGCGCTGTGCCTAGCCATAAGGAACTCTCAGTAAGAGTTAGCTGCTAGGTTTGGTACACACACACACACGCACGCACGCACGCACACCACATCTACACAAGGGCATACTATGCAGCCATAAAAAAGAATGAGATCTTGCCATTTGCAATAACATGGATGGACCTAGAGCATGTAATGCTAAGTGAAGTAAGTCAGAGAAAGAGATACCGCATGATTTCACTTACATGTGGAATCTTAAAAAACAAAACAAAGGAAAAAACAAAGCAAAAACAGACCCATAAATCAGAGAACAAACTGGTGGTTGCCTGAGGGGAGAGGGATGGGGGATGGGCAAAGCGGGTGAAGGGGACTGGGAGGTACAGGCTTCCAGCTATGGAATGAATAAGTCACAGGGATGGAAGGTACAGCACAGGGATATAGTCACTATGACTGTAGTGATAGTGCTGTGTGGTGACAGACACTAGCTGCACTTGTGGTGAACACAGCATACTAGATCTTAGCCAAAAGGGCAGGAAGTGATTGGTGAGCACAGCATGATGTATAGACTTGTCAAATCACCATGTTGCACACCTGAAATTGATGTAACATCGTGTGTCAACTATACTTCAAAAGAGACAAAGTTCTGTCCTTCACAAATCGTTTGTAGCAGCAGCAGCATCTTTGCAGAAGCCGGGCTCTGCCCATCTATGTTGAGTAGATTCTAGGAAGCTTTAAAAATATGATTGCTCTGATTCATGCCATGCCCTAGGTTAGTGGTTCTCAAGCTTTTCAGTCTCAGGACCTCTTTGTACTTTTAAAAGTTGTCAAGAACCCCAAGGAGCTTTTGTTTATGTGGGTTATATCCATTGACATTTACTACACTTGAAATTAGAGTGGAAACACTTAAAATATTTATTAATTAAGGGTAGTAATAATAAACCCATTATTGATATTCATGTCAATAGCTTATTTTTATGAAACATCATTATATTTTCTGAAACAAAGATAACATTTAGTGAGGAGAGTTGGCATTGTTTTACATTTTTAGCAGTTTCTCTAGGGTCTTAATAGAAGACATTGGGATTCTCATCTCTGCCTATCCTGGGGAAACTTCACCATACATTTGTGACAGAATGGGGGTGAAAAGGGCAAATATTGTTTTACTGTTCTTATGAAGACAGTTTGCCTTTGTGGATACCCTGAAGTGATCTCAGGGTCCCTGTGAGAATCTTTGGCTTAGGTAAACTAGTGTGAGTATTTGAGGAAATACTTGCTGAGATTATGAATACTTCCGTTTGGTCTACAATATCAAATTTCTAACCATTTAAGTATAATAAAATAATAGTTGTACCTTTCTCAATTCATGGGCCAGCCTATCAAAAGAATGCCTTTTTCAAGATTACTTAGGTAACAGGTTTTATACTAAACCCAATAGATATACAGAGATGGCAGGCCGTGTAACAATCTCCAGTGCTAAGTAATAATTAGAAGGGATTGCTAGAATATTAGGAGATGAGTAGGATCGTGAATGCCAGAAGCCTCATGCAACCTCTGTCGTGGGACCACAGCCAAGAGAGAGACACCAGGAATGAAGCCAGGGAGTGAATAGGGCTCCTCTTTAAGGCTTGGACCCCTGCCCACCATGTGGAACCTCTGAGCGTGGAGGGAGCACCTAAGCACCCCCTGCTCCTCTGGAGGCAAGTCCCAGTGACTGAGGCCCCTTCGCCCCGGTGTGGGGAGAGCTCCCGGCCATGCTTCTCAGACCATCACACGAGGATAACACAGAACTGGTCCCCAGAAGGGATGGAAGGTCAAGAAACCAAAAGGCAGACACCAGGCAGAATAAAACACTGGAATTCAGAAGCCCTTAAACTCCTTAAACTTTCTGTTCTGTACAGTGGAAACTCTGCATCATGGATCACCTGATCAGTGTTTTTCCCCTCTTTGGGTGGAGACAGGAGAGAAACTGCAAAGTCCTGCAGTGACAGCCTCGCTGACCTTCTTCTGTCTCCAGCACCCACCCTGTGTCACATGGGCCACCTCACCTTTTGACATCTCTCTTAATAGTCTCGAGTGCATGTTTATGACTGTGCTACATGCCTATATGTCCCTTTACCATAAAATATTATTCAAGTAATCTTCTAAACATGAGACACTAAGCAGAGGGAACATTAACAGGTCTTTTCACAGCTATAAGGTGAGCTGAGGTGAATCTGGAGGTAGGAATCTGGATTAAAACCCTAGCGCACTACCTAAAAGCACACCTCTTAAAAGGAAGATCAGTAACGGATGTTTAGCATCCTATGTTGTAGTAACAGCATCCCTCTACAGAGCTGTGGGTTTTGGCCAGAACCCCAAGTTTAATTCAGAGTTCAGAGTTACCATTACATGTCTAAACTTTGAATCAGTGTGTTAAGTACTTTTTGTGTGTTTTTCCCAAAGTGATTGTGGAAACTATAACTTTCTTTTTAGCTGAGAGAATTGGAATAGGAGTTGAGCTGTTGTTGATACAATAGATTTTCATATGCAGGGGTTTTTCTTCCCCTTTTTAAAAGAAATACTCATGTTTAAACCTCATGTTTAACTGACTAAGCCCTCTTCATGGTATTTTTTACCCTTAGAGAGAAAGCAGTGGAGGCATTCAGAGGGCACTGGAGAGCCCGGCCCTTCTCTCCACTCAGCATGCTTGTGGGGAGCTGTGTGTGGGTGGAATCTTGTCAGAATGCGCCCCCCCCCCAGTTTATCTTTTAGGAGACAGGGAATATTGTGCCATCATATAATTCTTTACTTTTAAAATAATCAGCAGTGCCTACAGACAAAATGGACTAATCATGCCTTCCTAATCTATAATCAGGATGGAAACCAGATGAACTGTAACTTCATTCCTTTGGATATAAAATTAGACCTTTGGGAAGATTTACCAGCAAGCTTTCAGCTGAAACACAATCGCTCCCTGGTAAGAATAGTCCTCTGCATTTGTTTTCAGTTAAAATGTATTGAGTACTATAAGACCATTCTGAGTTTCACGAAAGCACCTTGTGGCCTGTTGCAGAGCCAGATCACACTGGGCACGTTGTCATGGGTCCAGGCACTGCCTCTGAATTACCTTGGTGCTAAGAAGAAATGTGAAATCGGTTTCCTGAGTGAGCGATCACACCTAGGCTTGCTGTTTCTGTGGATAGAGTCATCCTCACATTGTTGGATTTCTCCTTCACAGGATTAGCAACCGTTATATATCTATATCTGACAGAGTCTCCGTTTATCTCTGACAGTTCTAACAATGACAAATTCTGAGAGCAGGGTTGGTGCCGTGGTGGGTGACTCCTGCTTCGTCAGAAGCACCAGCATACAGCTGTAAGTCAAGCACCTGCTCAGGAGGCCTTAATTCTGATCTGTGGCCGATTTATCTTCAGTGCTTGGAAGGATCAGCATGTGCAGGGGCTGACAGCATGCAGTGTGCCACTTTTTAGGAGAAAATAGTGATTCTGTGTTTGCCCTTTGAGTGGAAATCAAACATTCCCTGTGGGTCCACTGCACTTGACTTAAAGGAAAAGGTAGCAGTGAGTTATTTTCTTTGGTATCATTTCATCCTGGTTCTCAGATTCACAAAAAGTGGCCAGTTACATATAAATGACTAATAAGTAAGATTAATAGTGACCCTGGTAAAAAATGTTCCAGATTTATTGGTGGCTGTTTTCCTGTAATAACTTAGGTAGTTGGGTAACAAGGCAGTTCTCAGATGTTGCACTGAAACCTGCCACCGCTGTAAGACCCCCGCTCCCACGACCAGCTCTGCCTCGGCCACTGCTAGATTTGTGCTTCTGACAGCCGGGCCCCTTTCGGTCGCACTGGGCACATTATTGCCGTTGGTCCCTATGTGCATTAAGGACATACGCTGGGGCATCCTGAAATGTGTCTTTAGGGAGCCTTTGGGTTGAAAGAGAACTGGCCATCAGTATTTTACAATAAAGATAGGAAGACGGCATCAATCTGAAGAAAGCCTTAAATTGTGACATTCAGAAGCCTATTTGGAGGATATAATAAAACCTCAGTTTTCTAATGTTATAAGTGGCTTTACTTTCAAAGGAAGATGCCTGGTGAGCCATTAGAGCTTTTCATTATCTCATTTTCTGCCAGATTTTGAGGTTTGTTCGAGAATGGAGTAGTCTGACTGCCATGAAGCAAAAGATAATCAGGAAAAGTGGGCAGCTGTTCTGTAGCCCAATTCTTGCTTTGGAGGAGATCACAAAGCAACAAACCAAACAAAACAGTACTAAAAGGTATGCGTTGTCTTTTTTATTTTGTATTATATTATTTTGTCACGGTTACTTCTACAGGGGGGTCTGACACATTTTATGTAACCACTCATGAAATCCTGATGAGTTAAGAGAAAATTATACGTAAAACAGTAGCTTATTTTATAGGAATAGAATTAGATGTTTTGTGAATCTGATCAAATCTGCTCAAAAAGATCAGGTTTGTAGGATATTGGTCACCATGAGTCCCACTCATCAGGAGAGAGGCCAGAGTCACAGGCCAGTGTGTCCTGTGGCCCATTAAGCCTGGGACACTATTGAACAACAGAAAGACATCCCCTGGCAGAAGAGGGCACTGGTCTGGGTGCCGTGCGGCAGGGAAGCTGCTTCTGGTTGACGCACCCCCGCCCAAAGGGGGGTGGGGGGCAAAGTAAAAGGAAAGGTTTAGTGTCTCATGTCTGTGTAATTATTTTGCCCTTTATCATTACAGGTTTCTTTCTAATCTCTGTACACTTACTTTCTTGGCATCAGAATCCTCTCTGCCCCACTCAGGTATCGCCTTGTGTGAGCTCAGTCCCCACCACCTGTAGACTCTTCCCTCGGTGTGGAGGAATGATTCTCGGTCAAGGGTTCTGTTGCCCAGCTCCCGCGTGGGAAGAGATCTCAGAGCCCCTCACCAAGCAGCCACATGGCAGAAGCCCCTGTAGCTCTTGCCATCTCCATACACCTATAATCTGCCTTCATCTTCACATCCCGTCAGTTACCGTCTATAGCCTTTTCTATGCACACAGGTGAAAAACATCCATCCATGATATGTGAGAGGATGCAGTTAGTCAAACAACTTGTAACTCTATACAGTGAAAACTCTCTTCAGCTGTTTCCAAATGTGGCCTATGGTATATTCATAGGTGAGAATAAGGAGTGGTACTTGTGATAAATTATGAAGGGGAAAAATAAGTATAACAAAGGATGGAGACACAGCTATATGTAATTGCTGTTAGGACATAGAAAGTGTCTGCAAGGGTATCATAGAAACCCTTACCAGAGTTTTCTTTAAGAGAGTAGTTCTTAGCTGGGGGCAGTTTGACCCCCCAGGGTGGCAGTGTTAGGAAGCATTTTAGTTTGTTAGGATTAAGGGATACAAATGGGGAGAATCTAGAGGCTGGAGGCCTGGGACACTGCTAAGTAACCTACAGTGAACAGAACTGCACTTAAACAATTATCTGTTTCAAAATGTCATTAGTGCCCTTGTTGAGGGATCTTGCTCTAGACCATATGATAGGGGATTTGTGGAGATGATAGGGACTTTATGCCTGGATCACAAACTACTATGACTAAAAGCTAAGCAGGAACCATATATGAACAAATGAGATCAAGCGTAAAACCAGAAAAGGTTGAGGTAGGATGTAGAAGTATACCAAATCGAAAAGTGCATAACCCATTTAAAGTCATTGAAATTCAGATTAAAAAATAAAATGCTGCAGGGGCGCCTGGGGGTGCTCAGTCGTTTAAGTGTCCGACTTTGGCTCGGGTCATGATCTCGCATTTGGTGAGTTCGAGCCCCGCGTTGTCGGGCTCTGTGCTGACAGCTCAGAGCCTGGAGCCTGCTTCAGATTCTGTGTCTCCCTCTCTCTCTCTCTGGCCCTCCCCCCGTTCATGCTCTGTCTCTCTCTGTCTCAAAAATAAATAAACGTTAAAAAAATAATACAAGAAAAGAAAAGAAAAAAAAGAAAAGAAATGAAATAAAATAAAATAAAATAAAATAAAATAAAATAAAATAAAATGCTGTAAAGTCGATTAAGGTCCTTTGACTAGTTCGATTTGTCCATGAGCTGCCAGTTTCAGACTCACCTAAACTCTTCTGTACTGCTTAAATTGTTCCCACAAATGTGTATTACTTTATATAAAAAATACATTTAAAATACATGTGTGCATTGATAATATATACACACACATGCACACACCCCTCATACAGATACCCACTCAGTATGTAACAAAAAGCATGATGCCTGTTACTTTTCTCAGAACTTCTTGTGGTCCTCTCCATATTCTCATTGCCATAGCCACCATCTTAGTTGAAGTATTGGTCTTCTCTTTACATTACCATAGTTTCCTTCTTAACTGAATTTACAACCCACTCCAGCCATTTCTAGACATGTCGCATTGTTTCCTCCCCATCAGACATGGATGGCCACTTAAAGAACTACCTGAGAAAGCCAATCAGGTATAAAAGCAAAAGTCATGAAATCAATACAAACCAAAGTCAGACACATGGTATTATCTATAACATTTTATGTAGATGATACAGTAAAGTTAAAACTTGTGTTAAGCAGCATGGTCAGTAATCGGATTTGTGTTTTTTTTTTTTTTTTCAACGTTTATTTATTTTTTTTGGGACAGAGAGAGACAGAGCATGAACGGGGGAGGGGCAGAGAGAGAGGGAGACACAGAATCAGAAACAGGCTCCAGGCTCCGAGCCATCAGCCCAGAGCCCGACGCGGGGCTCGAACTCATGGACCGCAAGATCGTGACCTGGCTGAAGTCGGACGCTTAACCGACTGCGCCACCCAGGCGCCCCCGGATTTGTGTTTTTAAGAGCTTGCTCTGGCAGCATTTGAGAGATGAGATCAGAAGAGCAGACTTGCAAGCTTCTGAGTGGCTCAGTCAGTTGAGCGTCCGACTTCGGCTTAGGTCATGATCTCATGGTTGGTGGTTTGAGCCCCACATCAGTTCTGTGCTGACAGCTCAGAGCCTGGAGCCTCTTCAGATTCTGTGTCTCCCTTTCTCTCTGCCCCTCCCCCACTTGCACTCTGCCTCTCAAAAATGAATAAACGTTTAAAAAAAAAAAAAAGAGCAGACCTGAGGAGCACCTAGGTGGCTCAGTCAGTTAAGCATCTGACTTCAGCTCAGGTCTTGATCCCATGATTCGTGAGTTTGAGCCCTGCATTGGGCTCTCTAATGTCAGCACAGAGCCTGGTTCAGATCCTGTCTTCTCTCTCTCCCTCTCTCTCTCTCTCTCTCTCTCTCTGTCTCTCAAAAATAAACTTTTTTTTCTTTTAAAGAGCAGGCTTGAAGTGGGGAGACAAGGTGCATTATTTTTTTATTGTTGCCTTAACAAATTACCACAAACTTAGCAGCTGAAAGCAACAGACATGTATTGTCTCACAGTCCTGTAAGTCAGAAATCTGAGATGGCTCTACTGGTTTCTCTGCTCTGGAATTTGTAAGACTGAATTCAAGGTGTTGCCTGGATGGACTCTTAACTGATAGTCTGGGAAGACTCCATTTCCATGTTCATTTGGGTTGTTGACAGAATTTAGTTCCTTGTGATTATATGACTTGGATTTTCTTGCTAGCTGGAAGAGGGGGGGCATCCTTAGCTTCTAGAGGCTTCTTTCTAGTTGTAACACATGGGTTCTACATCTCAAGGCCAGCAGTGGTATGTCAAATCCTTCTCATGCTTGGAATTGCTTCCTTTCTTAAGGTCAGCTGATGAGTAACCTTAATTATATCTGCAAAGTCCCTTTACAACATTACCTAGATGAGTGATGGACTGAATACCAGAGACAAGAATCCTAGAGAAAGGTTGTTAAAGATACCGTCTTCTACACAAGTTAAAAGACTACTATGGTAGAGCTAGGGGGAAAGATGAAGGCTTTTTTTTTAAGATTTTATTTTTAAGTAATCTCTACACCCAACATGGGGCTCAAACTTACAGTCCCGAGAGTTGCATTCTCTACTGACTGAGCCAGCCTGGCACCCCTGAACACTTTTATTAAGGCAGGAACAATGGGAATGGAGGAAGGAGGATGAAGAGAGGTGTTAAGAGGTAGATCTAGACACTTTGGTCACTGATCAGAGAGAGGAAGAGAGGGAAGACTTCAGGGAAATGGACTTCGCAGAGACATGAAAATGAAGCCTGTGCACCTGCAGAGGAGTGCACTTTGGACAAGCTTGCCGGTTCTTGTGGAGAACCCCGGCAAGTCTCAGTGACTTGGAGGAACTGTCTCTCTCTGAAAGCAAGTGTCAAAGATGGGGCTGCACAGCAGCACTGATTGGACATCTGTATGAGGAGCAGGTAGACACTGGATGCCTTGACCTCCCCCTGTCCTACCAGTTTACTTTCTAGAGAAACTGAACCAGAGACACACCAGCCTTGGAAACACCAAGCTTAGTGGAGATAAAGGGAGAGGCATTATATTGAAAACCGGCACTCCCCAGACCCCTTTCTTCACTTCCAGAATTCTAGGAGGCATATTTTACTTCCTAGCAGAAAATTAGATGATTCTTCTATGAAAAAATGGAATGGCCTTAGAATAAAGACAAATAGATACTGATTTTAAGCAGTGGCCATATCTCCAGCCAGATTATCCTGCATTGACTTCCACCAGTGCACAGGACCCGTCCAAGCTCAGAGTTTACACTTAGCTTTTGAATAGCTCAGTCTTAATTGTGAATGAAGCCAAGACCACCAGCCACTGCTTCTGAGTTCCCATTTGTCAGAGGTAGGCCTGCCTTTCTGGGAGCCCTGTTAGGTTTAGGATGCCACCTATTTATTTTGACCCCCAAAGCAGCTCAGCAACCCAGAACCCGGCACCGTTTTCACTGTTGAGGGCCACTTCCCAACATACTTCTGTTGCAAAACTTGCCATCCGCCACTGCCATCCCCATCTGGGAATTACTAATTAGTAGACAATGTTTGCCTTTCCCTGTTTTTCAAAACTGAGATTTACCATAATCCTTTTGAGAGGTGGTATACTTACATCAACTTCCTAGCAAACCTCAGTGGAAGATTAAATGTTGGTAACTCACAACCATGTTTGAAAAGCTGCCAACTTCCTGCTTTGGGGTTGATTGATCTATTTCTTGTGGTTTCCAGAATTTTGTGCTTAGACCTCTTGTAGGAAAGGTTATTTTTAGTTCTTGAATCTCTGAATAGATTTCTCAGCATCTTTTAAATTTACTGAATTAGGATTCTAAGCTTTTAAACATTGAATAATACCTGAGGCAAGGCTTAATATCCCCTTGCCCCTCAAAGCTAGGAAGTGTTTGAGTTCATTAGAATCCACTGAAATACTTTAGTGAAAGTGCTTTTGTCAAGAAGATAAAATAGTTGAAGAATTGGGGGATGGAGGAACCTGGGAAGTTTCAAAACCAAAAGGGCAAGTTAGAGAATTCTAAAAGAATTCACTTTCTTTTTTCTTTTGCTTTAAAAACAACACGCCAGTAGAAATGGAAATATATGAAAAGAGAGTCACTCTTACTTTTAATAGGAGAAATGTAAATTTAAAGCCAAAATGAGATAAATATCACCATTAGCAGAGATGTTTTTAATGGACATATTTGTTGGTGGGGTTTTGGGTTGATGGTGGGGTTTGGAGCTGATGGCCAAGAAAGAATTCTTGAAGACGTCTTTGATGCAAAAAAAGACTTTTGGTGGGGCTCCTGGGTGGCTCAGTCAGTTGAGCGTCCGACTTCGGCTCAGGTCATGATCTCGCGGTTTGTGGGTTCGAGCCCCGCATCGGACCTTGTGCTGACAGCTCAGAGCCTGGAGCCTGTTTCAGAATCTTTGTTCCCCTCTCTCTCCATCCCACCCCTGCTTATGCTCTGTCTCTCTCTGTCTTTCAAAAATGAATAAACATAAACAAAAATTAAAAAAAAAAAAAGACTTTTGGTGCAAAAAGGTGACAGGGCCTGTGGGCACAAAGAGCTGCACTGGGGTTGTAACGGGCAACTCATTATATACCCCCAGGTTGGGAAGGGGTTATAGACAATGTAAGACTCCAAGGAATTTTGGAGGCAAGGTTTCCAGGACCTGTAGGGGCGAACTGCAATTATGAAAATGCCATTTATTACTGTTTAGTAAAACCTCAGTCATGAGACCCTTCAGATGTATATCAGGGGCCATAAGCTTGGAGTATGATTGCCAGCGTATATCTTGGCGGAGTTGAGATAAAGGAAGTTTCCAAAGGAATTTTTGTATGTTAAAGTAGACTTACAGGATCCTGAGGGCAGGATAATGTTAGGCCTAGACTCCCTTTTGCCCCTAGCAAAGTGTCATCACTGAGGCAGCTGAGCCCCTAGAGGGACTCTGCCTATTTCAAGGACTTGTAGGCAGTAAGGGAATTTAATTTTTCATTTGGCTTTGTTTCCCACATTGCCATGGCAAGCACATAAACCCCTTGATCTAATATCACCCCTAATATCTTGAGGAGGGTGATATTAGAGCTTTTCTTGCAGTTTACTAAGTTATCCGTAAACTGAAGGAGACTCCTGTCCTGCATGACTGTGACCTCTGTCTGTCAACCATTTGCTCTTTCCTTTCCCCTTTCTTGGGCAGCCAGCAGTGTCCGAGGAACATCACACATATCCCACCAGGCGGGGGGTGGGGCATTGCTGTTAGTCTGTACTTTGCCCTCAGCTTGCCCCACACTCCCTCATCATTGTGCTAGTATAAGTGTGAGGAAACAGGCACTTTCCTGCATTGACAGTGGACTTGTATATTGGTTGGTACAAACCCAAAGGAGAGAGCAATGTGTCAAAATCTGTCCACATTTAAAGCACCCAAGACCTTTGACCCAGCAATTCTGCTTCTGAGAACTTATTCTACATGTATGTAATGTGTAGGGATATTATAACATTGTGATAACAGAGACTAGAACAACCTAAGTGCCATTAATCAGAAGTTGGTTAGACATATTATATTGTTTATTCAAATAATGCAGTAACATGCAGTCATCAAAGAAATAGGGCAACCCTGTGTACTGATATGGAAAGAGCTTGGAGATATATGTGTAGGCAAAAAAAGCAAGGTAAATGTTAGTGTGCTACCATTTGTTTTTAAAAGTAAAAAGCATAATGAGGACTGCTAATGAGTACAGGTTTCTTCTGGGGGTGATGAAATGTTCTGGAATTAGTGGTGCTGGTTGGACAACCTTGTAAGTATACTAAAATGAACTGAATTGTACACTTTAAAATGGTAACTTTTATGGTATGTGAGTTATATGTCAATAAAAATACAGAGATCATAAAAGGTATAACCTATGTGCAGAAAAAAAAAAATCTCTCCAAAAGAAATTGGTCATGGAGATAGCTTTGGGGGAGGAGATGGGACTGGAAGGTAAACTTACTCTTCACCATAAGCACCATTGCATGCCTTTTGAGTTTTGATATATGTGCAGGTATCATCTAGTCAAAACATTAATAGCTTATAAAAACAATAAAATCTGTTGATTTTTAAATCTACTTTAACATAAAAGCAAATTTCTAAGATTTTACCTAATATTGCGCCATTCCATTGTGATTTAACTTTTATTGTCAAGTTAGCAAACTAGGAAGTACTTGGAAATATGAAGAAATTCATGTTCAAACTAATTAAAAAGGAAAAAAAAGCTACAAAAGTGTAAACTACCAGAGAAAGTGGGCCATGCTAATTAGAAGGAATTAATTGGGTAATTGCATTTTACCTACTTAAATTCCCCCGTCACCTTTAATTGGAATAACTTTCCTCTTTACTTCCAGTCCCTAAATCATTGTGTGGTATTGATAGTGTTGTGTAATAAGGTTCTGAATCCCACATCAAGAGTGGCTTTATTTCAGTGGAAGATTCCATAAACTCTGTATGGCTGACAATAATGGAAACAACCTTGGGATTATAGAAGTTGTTATTGAACCTGGTTAACTAAAAAGAGAATCTCTTTACCCGAGTATGCTGATACACCATTATAAATGATTGAGGTGATTTGAGGGACCTTGAAGAAAAGGCCAAAAGGGAGGTAAAAATGCAGTGAGAGATTATCCGCACAGCTCAACAAGGTATTTACTCAAGGATGTCCGTTGTGCATGTATTTGATCACTTCTTATTCCTACACCCACTCCTCTTATCCCCTAAGTGAAAATTGGTCCAAAGGATATTGAGTGACTCTGAATGTCTTAGAAAAATAAAGCTTAAGAAACTAATTTGGAACAGAGGTGTCTTTCCGACACGTGGAGACCAATGTTAGGATAGAAAATTCTATGCCCTAATTTTAGTATTAGCACAATAAAGACCCCATCTTGCTTTCTCTCCTATTGCTTTTACAAAGAGTAATGTGATCATGAAATAGAGAAACTCAGAAGAGAGAGGAAATCTACTCACCATGTAATTGTTTTAGATACATCAGCAAAGAAGATGTTGCTGTAGCCTCACTGGACAAGGTCAAGAATGATGGGGGCCATGTTCGTCTGATCACAAAGGAGTCCAGGCCACAGGACCCTTCTACAAAGTAAGGTTTCATTGACTAATAGGACATAATAGTACCGTGTGTACTCCTTTAAATTTGTGTATGCATATTTGTAATAATACTTTACCCTGATGTGGCCACCTTACCGGTTAGAAAAAGCTTTCCCAATATTTCACAACAGGTAGCTTCTCCACCCTCGTAACAACCCTATGAGGAATAGGATGTCCTCACCTTAGAAATTAGAAGGATCCTGAGACCAGGTGGACCAAGTGACCTGCCCAAAGCCATTAGATGCTAGGAGACCCGAGGTCTAATCTGGGCTCCGCTTCCCAGTCATGAGCTTTTTCTATCACAAAGAGTTTTTCTTTTAACACTTCTAACAAACAGTCCTGAAAAAAAGGCAAGCAGCTGTTGTAATTCCATGTAGGACTTTTCAGCATAATTGAGTAATGTACCTTTTCCTTTTATCTTAACAAATTTTTAAAAATTATAATTAATAAATTGAGTGCATGTCCTGTGTCATTTCTAACTTTGAATCAAATCAAATAAGAGTTTACCTGGAGGAGGCACATATTTAGCAAGTCTAATGTTGATAGTTCCTGTCAACACCATTAGCTTCTTGGCTCTGTCACTTTACGGATATGACTGTTTCCGGTAGGCCCACAGGGGCTCCCCGAGAGTGTCGTGGAAGCCTTCATAATGGTCTCTGTGTCCTAGTGAGGTGTGTGGCCCAACACATGTAGAGTACAGTAGCCCCAACTCCAAGTGGGGTTTTACATTAGCCCGTCCTTTCCCAGATTGAAGAAGCATTTTTAACTTCTCATTTTCCAACTTCTCCAGATGTTTCAAAGTCTGGTTGTTTAACTTGAAGATATATAAACTCCCAAGAGAGGCAGCATATTTATATTCAAATGAATTTTTTTAACACATCATTCTTTCCTTCATTTGGCATGGAGCATCGAGTGCTGACTATGGCTGTTTCATTTCCACACTCAGTCACAGAATCCATGAGTCCTACATTTACTGGTTATCAGTATTGAAACTTTAAAGGCTGTTACATGAAGTAGTGACTATTTAGACGAGTGTACGTGTTCATTACTTAGTCAATGTTTTGTTCACTTCCAGAAAGTTCCTTGATGATGGAGTCTCTGTCCCATTTCTAAATCCCTGCATAGCCCAAGCTGATCTCGCTGTGAAGCCTTCTATATCCAAAGGCTATCTGCAAGCTGTGGATAATGCAGGAAATCCACTTTGCCTTCGCTGTCAGCAACCCACCTGCCAAACTAAGCAAGAGTGCAAAGTGAACGCTTGGGAGTCACGGTTTTGCTCTCTGAAATGTCAGGAAGAGTTTTGGATTCGATCTAATAACAATTACCTGCGAGCCAAAGTATTTGAAATTGAACACGGTGTATGTCAGCTATGTAACCTAAATGCACAAGAACTCTTTCTACGTCTGAGAGATGCTCCCAAAAGTCAGAGGAAGACTCTACTGGATATTACCTGGATCTCAAAGCTCCCATTAGAACAGGTAAATTATAATCCTTTGGCAGAGAGAAGGCAGCATTGTATTGAGTGATGAATATTGATTCATTTTCTTTTTTTCAACTTTATAATACAGCAGCTTTTGAAAATACGCACGCAAAAGTAGAGAGAATAATCAACCCATATACGCATTACCCACCTTGAACAGTTATCAACATTTTGCCTTCATCTGTCCCTCACCTCAGTTCTTTTTTTCTCCTGGAATTATTAAAAAAAAAATTTTTTTTAATGTTTGTATTTATTTTTGAGACAGAGACAGAGCATGAGCAGGGGAGGGGCAGAGAGAGAGAGACACAGAATCTGAAGCAGGCTCCAGGCTTTGAGCTGTCAGCACAGAGCCTGACGTGGGGCTCGAACCCACAAACTGCGAGTTCATGACCTGAGCCGAAGTCCGACGCTCAACCAACTGAGCCACCCAGGCGCTCCCCCCTTTTAAATTTTTTTTTAATGTTTATATTTATTTTTGAGACAGAGAGAGAAAGCATGAGCAGGGGAGGGGCAGAGAGAGTCTCCTGGACAACAAATTCCAGACAACATTTCATTTCCTCTTTTATTTTTTTTTTTAAGTGATCTCTGTGTCCATGGTGAGGCTTGAACTCATGACCCTGAGATCAAGTCACATGCTCTACTGACTGAGCTAGCCAGGTGCCCCTCATTTCCTCTTTAAATCCTTTCATTATGTATCTCCCACAAAGACTTTCTCCCTCCCTCCTTCTTTCTTTCTGTCTGTCTTAAATATAATCCCATACCTGGGTACCTGGGTGCTCAGTCGGTTGAGTGTCTGACTCTTGATTTCAGCTCAGGTTATGGTCCCGGGGTCGTGGGACCAAGCCCCACATCGGGTTTTGTGCTGAGCATGGAGCCTGCTTGGGATTCATTCATTCATTCTCTCTCTTTCTCTCTCTCTGTCTCTGTCTCTGTCTCTCTCCACCACCCCCCCCCCCCCACCGCTGCCCCCTCCTGCCTCTTCCCTGATCATACTCTCAATAAATTCATACATAAATTTTAAAAATTCCCATACCCCACTACCCATTATTACACCAACAGTTATGATTCCTTCATTTTAAGTCCAGGCTTGGTTTCCCAGATTGTCTCAAAAATGTCTTTTTGCAGTTGCTTTGTTCAAATTAGGATCAAAATATGACCCACACATTGTATTTGTTCATTATGCCTCTTATGCTCCATTTAATCTATATCACCCCATCCCATTTTTACACCATTGATTGTTCAAGAAACTGGATCATTTGCCTGTAGGATTTCCTACATTATGGGTTTGTCTTCCTGTATCCTCATGGTATTATTTGACATGTTTCTCTATCCCCCTGATTCCAGAATTATAGTTATAAGATATAGCAGCTTAATTAGATTCTGATTAAATTATACTGGGGAGAGATCTTAACAGAGGATACATTCCATGGAGAAGTACCTATGGTCTGGTTGTCACTTTTCATGATGTTAGTATTGAATGACCAGGGGCAAACAGATAGCCCCCAAAATATAGTTCATTACAATGAGAAGAAAACATTTATGTTCATTCCACTGTAAAATGTAATTTTAGCAGAACAGTTTATGAAAAAAATATTCTTAGAAAACAATCATCAATATTCACTTTTATTTCCAAATCTCAGCTGGTTTCTAATGTGATCTAATCAGCCCTAAGTTTCAAACTAGAGCAAAATGTGTAATTTTGTAGTGTGCTTAATTTTAAAAAATCACTCCTGAGCCATTCTGTGCCCACTAAAATATTGGATAAATTTCTGCCAGTTGGTCAAATCACACATTTTTATTTATTTTGTATCACCAAATTATGACAGAATTAATTAATTAAGCATTTCTGCAAAAATGAATTACCATGACTTTGAGAGCTAGGGAATTACTTCCTTCATGATACCCCGAGTTCCTGAAATATCCTTTTGTCTAATTGGTGAGGCACACACTGCACCCACCCCAGGGGTGTCAGCCAGACTGCAGTCACTGTCTGCTGCCTCAGAGTGGAGGCTTCCAGAAGACACACAATGAGAAGACTCAGGACATCTTGAAAACAGCCTGTCCGGGACTGTGGAAGTAACATAGTCTACTTCTAAAACAAAAGTGCTCCCAGGCGCAGCAGCACCATAGGGTTCATACTGGGGAGGGCCAGTCAGAGAGGGAGTGATTGTTTTAAGAGTTCAGTCTAGGATGTTGAAGACTGACTCCAAGTGATTTGTTTGCCAGGGCATTACTAGGAGGAATACAGAACCACATCTGGATTCAAGAGTCTGTCAGAAGAGAGACTATTCAGAGTAAAAGAATTGGTTACAAAGAGCAGACAAAATGGATTTTTTTCCTAAGAATGAGTCATTTGCTTGATGCACAAGATGGCCATGTCTAACTGCTTCTAACAGTGCCGGCCTCTGCTAGACAGAGGTTACTGCTCCTGCTTGCTGCCTCTTGGGGCTCCTTTTGGGCTGGGCACTGGGGGTCAGTGTTCCTCTGCCTCCACATGTCAGACAAGCTTCCTTAAAAGTACTTGAGACATAGGTTCCCAGGGCCGGCAGCATGAAGCTGTTTTTAATGTTGTCCTTGTCCAAAACCATGGAAATAAAAACAATCTTTGCATTCATCTTTATCATATTTAAAAAACTGCAATTCTGTGAGCTGGTTTTCCTACCTCAGGTAGAATGTTAAAATACATCTTAATGTAGGTCATCACCAATAATATATAAAGTGTGTATGTGTGAGTTGGCCTAAATACTGCTGCTTTAAGTGGACATCTTAGTTTATTCCAGATATGCAAGTGATAGAGGTCTGTTGTAGAAACTTTGTCCCAGTCCATGTTAATTTTTAGAAGTTCCCAGATGAATGGCAAAAAGGTTCCGGGTGATAGCCATTAATATTAAACTCTCACTATGACAGGAACAAATGAACTTGGGTCAGTGATTAAACATTATGTGACTCAATAATATTCAGAAGTTTTTGATTTCCAATGTGTCCTTATTCTTTTCACAGTTTTGTTTTATTGACTATATAAACTAGCTCAAAGGTGCAGAAGCAAGTAATTTTTCCCAATCTGTCAGGAGTTGTGGTATTTTATACTTGTTTGTAATTTTTTCAAAATGGGTTAGGTAAGGGAAAAAGAACTTTTTCAGAAATGTATTTTATTGCTTTCAAATTGCTAACCTAGAGGCTTTTTCCTATTCACAATAAAAGCTATAAAAAGCCATCCTAATGTATTTTTCGCTGTGATTTTGCTGTGTAAACATGATTGCACAAGGCAAAACCAACCGTTCCCACAGTGTATGTTGAAAAGTGCTGATCTTCTGTTCTCATTGTAGCTTAATTAAATGATAAGAAACCCAGGAGAAGGGCATTTCTGGCAGGTGGACCACATCAAGCCCGTGTCCGGTGGTGGAGGACAGTGCTCCCTGGACAACCTGCAGACCCTCTGCACAGTCTGTCACAAAGAGGTAGGTGAAGCTCTGCACACCTGTTTGACTTCATCCTGGAACATCAAATGGAGAATCGGGTATACAGTCCTGTGGAAGGTCATATGGAGGAATCTGTATCCCTTGTCTGGGACCCGAGATGCACTTATCCCTTTCATCACCTGAGTTTCCTCTTGAGACCTATGTAGGTTCTCTGTCACAGATAGAAGCTTCTTCCCTTGTAATTCATTCTAGGACAGAAAATTGTCACCACTGCCTAGAAGAAAATAAATATAACTTAACACAGTCTCTAAGAGACCCAGACCATCAACCAAAAGTTTGGTGAATTGGGGCAGCAACATATATTTGCATTCGCAGCTAAGGATGTCCCGAAATGTCAGAGAACATTAATTAATTATCTCTAGGGCCAACCCAGCTCAACATGCAAACATTATACTCCTGGCCCAAGTGTAAAACCTGTTCACCTTGGCACCTCTCTGAGCAATTACCTGTTGCTTAAAACAGGAGGGAAAAATATAACAGTTGTATTTAATAACTAGGATGAATTTTTAACAGGCAGTCTAGCAAAAGGATCTGATTAAAATTTTCTTGGAAGCATACATTCCACATGCAACTTTGTACCCAACTTTTTTTCTAGTTATGGCAAGATTTAAGCATTTGCCCACATCCGTGGTGAGCATTCATAATGTCTGTCCTCCAAAAAGGCTAACATCACTCTGTTGGGTACATGTCTACTGAACTCGATTTAGCTGTGCCCATACTGGTGAACTTGGAAGTTCATTCTTCTGTTTACACACTGTTCTTTACATTTTGAGGTTGTTCCTTCAGATAGATTCTGAAATGTAAAATCACTGAGTCCAGTGTTTGGATATTTCTGAGACAGTAGGAATTTATTTCCAAGCTGTTTTCCAAAGGAGAGTGCTCCGTTTTGCTCCTCCCGCCCTGTTGGTGGAGGCAGTGCTCACGTAACTGCACTCGTCAGGGCGTACGTGGTGGGAAAAGAATGGTCTTGTGGACCAAAGACACCGATGTTTTTAAAAATGCTGATCAATTGTATTTACACTCCTGAAAACCGTTCAGATCCTTTGCCAGTGTTCATAATGTATAAGCACTTTCTTAGCTTTCTTTTAATATTTTAGATTCCTCCATTCCTTCACAAATATAATTTTTACATAAATAGGATCTTGTAAGCAGGGTTGTTTTATTTTCATCTCTTAACCCTTTCTTCTCTCCCCACCCCTTCCACCTGGATAACTTCACACATACTTGAGCCTCATCTGGGGGAAAAGTCATCGGATTTACTTCTCAGCTGTGAAAATTATTAGCTCATTCAAGAGTTATGCGATCACTTTTTTTAGATTCTCGTGAAAAATTTTATTTGTGGGAATAGCAGGAGAATCTAGTTCTGATCTACGTCATTTTGTTTTTCTGCACTGGCTTGGGGTTGGGAGTGGCTTCTGAGCCCATAGAATAGGAAACAGGCCTTGAATGACTGCACCGTGAGAAACTATAGGAGGCCTTCTAGATGGTCTCCCTTGGGTGAGGAGAACCAGGGCCTCCTGTAGTCCCCAAATGAGGTATTCACAGTCTCAATGGGGAGTAAAGCATCTGATCCTAAGTGAACCCAGGACCTTGGGGCACGTACCAGAGCTACTGCGGTCCTCTGCTAGTGCGTGTGTTGATAATGTAGATTCTTCCAGAATAACGAAATGCAAAGAATTTTTGAGTTTCTGAGGCCAGTACTTTTTTCCTAACAAGTGTACACTTGTATATTTTTTAACTTTTAGAGAACTGCCAGACAAGCTAAGGAAAGAAGCCAGGGGAGAAGACAATCTCTAGCATCAAAGCATGGATCAGATATCACAAGATTTTTGGTAAAGAAATGAAGTAGAAAAATTTTTCAATGGGTGACAAATGGTTTGCATGTGGAGGAATTTAACACGAAAAGTTTTGTCATGTTTCTCATTTAAAGAGTGAAAATTTTCAGAGCAAAACTCAAGAATTCAACTTTCCTTTTCATATTATATGCTTTTAGTGTTCGCTACCTTCTGAGAGTACTTAACACAAACTGAGATACAATAATAAATATTTCTGTGGCCTTGATTTCATGCAGACTCTCAATTATGTTTCAGGAAGGTTTTGTTAAGCTTTCATTTCCCCCTACAGTACTTTAATCATGGTATTATGTCTAGATTGTATTTGAAAAATATACTCTCAATTACTTGAAAAATGCTGCTGGATTAGTGTTGGCTCCGAACTGCTGTGTGTATAAATGGAACATTGGGAAACTGTAAGGGAAATTTCGGAAGCAGATCATTCAGGAATTCTGGGTCAAGCATGAGCATCCTGGTTAGCATGCAAGAGAGACCCTTGTTCACTACTGCCTCCAAAATGGGCTTGGGGTACACATTTGGAGTGTTGCCCTGTTTGTTGTATTTCTTAGCTAATTGTCTTTATTGAAAAGATGCTTCTGAGAAAAAGTTAATTGGATCTATGGTGTTGGTAGACAAATGAGGTAATTTTTAAAAACATTTAAAAACTTGAAAACATAAAATGTAAAATTCCACTTTAACTGAAAAATGAAGTTTAAATTAATGCATAAAACTAGGCTTACTATCAAAGCACCCTTTGTCTCCTGGTTATCATTTTGTTTTTAAAATCCTATCTTATTAAAAGTATATTCATGGTACCTCTTTTAAAAGGAATGAGGATAAAACACTTCATTCGAAAGCATGATCAGATGGAGATATAAGTTTCAAAAATACAGTGGGTGGCTCAGTCAGTAAAGCATCGGGCTCTTGACTGTGGCTCAGGTCATGATCTCAGGTTTCGTGGGTTCAAGCTCCATGTCAGGCTTCTCGCTGGCAGTGCAGAGCCTGCTTGGGATTCTTTCTCTCTCCCTGTCTGCCCCTCCCCCACTCACACGCACATGCTTCATCTCTCTCTCTCTCTCTCTCAAATAAATGAACTTTAAAAAAATACTATGGTGGTGCACCTAGGTGACTCAGTTAAATGTCTGACCAGCTCATGGTCACGATCTCACAGTTCTCAGGTTCGAGCCCCGCATCAGCCTCTGTGCTGACAGCTCAGAGCCTGGAGTCTGCTTCAGATTCTGTGTCTCCCTCTCTCTCTGCCCCTTCCCCACTCATGTGCTCTCTCTCAAAAATAAACATTAAAAATGTTTTTTAATAAAAAAATACAATGGTAATATTAACATGTAATTGATATTCAAAAATAAAAGCATGATAACAAAAATAAAACCAGGCTACAATCCTGCAAAATGTCAAAACCATGAAAGAGTTAGAACTATACAAAATCCAGGTCCAAAGAAGAATATATTCTTGAAAGGCCCATTTGTACATACTGTTTGGATGTAAACTTCATTTATTTATATTTTTAAACTTCATTTATTTGAGCACTTTACCGCTTTAATTAGTAGCTGGTGTTTTACGAATGTAGAGGACTTGTTTTTAGAAAGACTATACAATCATGAATTATCCTTCCAGAGTTGTTATTAAGTTTATAACTATTTCATTGTATGAGATCAAATAGCGTTTATTTTATAAATTGGGTCGGGCTTTCTTTTGCCTCCTTTCTGCTTTGCTGGTCAGGCTCTTTGCAGTTTTCTGCCTCATTGCCAGGGTAACCTAGGATTCCTCACGGTTGAGAGCTGAGAAACCGGCAGGCTGCTTTTCCTCCAGCATGGGGTGTTTGCAAGTGAGACTTAGGTCTAAGTAGGTCAGATGTCAGTGGAGCTTGCTTGCTCTTTAGATTAAACTGAGGTGGCAGTTCTAGGAACAGAGTTCTCAGATGTAGGAAATGTATGACGGTTTGAAATGAAATGACCCATGAAGATGGTCTCTCTTTGCAGATTTCTAAATCCCAACCAAACAAAAATGCTTATAAGAACATCAAAAAGAATAAAATACTTAGGAACACATTTAACTAAGGAGGTGAAAGATCTGTCCACTAAAACTACCAGACTGATGAAAAAACTGGAAAAGATACAAATGGAAAAATACTCCATATTCGTGGACCAGAAGAATTTATATTCTAAAAAGGTCCATACTACCAGAAGAAATCTATAGATGTGGTGCAGTCCCTATCAAAATTCCAGTGGCATCTTTCAGAGAAATAGAAAAATTTTTTCTAAAATTTGTATGGAACCACAAAAGACCCCCAAATAGGCAAAGCAACCTTGAGAAAGAACAAAAAAGCCAGAGGTATCAGGCTTCCTGATTGCAAACAAGTCTGTAGCAATCAAAACATTATGGTATTGCCATAAAAACAAACCCTAGATCAATGGAAGAGCACAGTCCAGAAATAAATTCATCCAGAGATATTCAACTGACTTTCAACAAACAAGCCAAGAAAATATGGTGGAAAAAAGAGGGTCTCTTCAATAAATGGTGATGGGAAAACTGGACCCCCCACTTTATACCATACACACAAGTCAACTCAAAATCAATTAAAGACTTGAAAGTAAGACCTAAGACAATAAAACCTCTCTAAGGAAACAGAAATGATTTAGCTCCAAGATGGTGGCTAGGAAGACCTCCTCCCACAGACACACTGAATCTGTACCTGCATATAGAATATTTCCTCCTGAAGAAATGAGGACTGATTAAACAGTTTTTGTACAACAAAGGATAGAGAGACCACATAGAGAATAGCAGGAGAAACAGAGACACGTTAGCAACGGGAACCCCAACCCTGATGTAAACTTCATTGGGTGGGGACAACACGGAAGGACCCATGCACAGATTCATCCATGCTGGGGCATGGAAAAAGAGCAGCAGTTCAAAAGGCAACTAGACTATAAGTGAGCCCACCCCAGAGGATCCAACAAACTGAAGAAACTGCTAGAACTTTCTCCAGACCCCAGACTTCAGCTGTCCCGCCAAGGTGAGCCCAGTGCAGTGTACATCAGGTTACTCCCTTGGTGTACCCATTGCAGCTCCAGCCAACTTACCAAGGCAATACAGGCACAAAGCACTCCAGGACATCCCAGGTCTCCATCTGCTTTGGCTTCAGCCAACTCACCAGGGAACACCCTAGGGCCCTGGGGCCCTAGGCCACACCCAGTATGGCTGGAACCATCCGTCCAAGGTACCCCATGCAGAGAATGCCCTGGGACCACCTAGTGCGTGCCCACTTCAGTTCCAGCTGTCCCACCAAGGCACCCCTTTTTGGAGCACCCAGGGACCCCTGCTCTGTGCCTGCTTCAACTCCAATCATCTTACCAGAGTAGCCTCAGTGTAGATTGCCCAGGGAATTCCCAGAGTACACCCCCTACAGCTCCAGCCAGCCAGCCAAAATCACCAGGCATACACAGTCTACACCAGGGATGTTCTTACACAAGGCCATTCATCAAGAATGGGAGACGTAACTGTTTTGCCTAATTCATAGAAACACAGAAAGTCAAACAAAATGAGACAGAGGAATATCTTCTGAACAACAGAATAAGACCAAAGTTGAGGAAAAAAATTAAATGGCAATCTATCTGGGAAGATGTTCAAAGTAATGGTCAAAAGATGCTCATCAGACTTGATAAAAGAGTGGATGAATGCTGCAAGTAACGCGATTCCACATTTCAAAGTACACTACAGAGCTCTAGTAATCAAAACAATATGGTACTGGCACAAAAACAGACACACAGATCAATGGAACAAAATAGAGAGCCTAGAAATAAACCTACACATATATGGTCAATTAATCTATAACAAAGGAGGCAAGAATATACAATGGGGAAAAGACAGTCTCTCTAATAAATGATGCTGGGGAAACTGGACAGCTGCATGCAAAAAAATGAAACTGGACCACTTTCTTACACCATACACAAAAATAAACTCAAAATGGATTAAAGACCTAAATGAGAGATCTAAAACCACTAAAATCCCTTAAGAAAACACAAGCAGTTATTTCTCTGACATCAGCCATAGCAACATTTTTCTAGATTTGTCTCCTAAGGCAAGAGAAACAAAAGTAGAAAAAATACTGGGAATACATGCAAATAAAAGCTCTGCACAGCAAAGTAAACCATCAACAAAGCTGAAAGGCAACCTATGGAATAGGAGATATCTGCAAATATATAGAGGTTAATATCCAAAATATATAAACACCTATAACCCAACACCAAAAAAATTAATAAAAATCCAATTAAAAAATGAGATTGCTTGAAAAGACATTTTCCCAAAGACGATATACAGATGGCAAGATATATATATGACAAGATGCTCATCACTAATAATCAGGGAAATGCAAATCAAAACCACAATGAGAAAATTCACATCAGTGAGAATGACTAGTATCAAAAAGACACAAAATAACAACTGTTCACAGGATATGGAGAAAAAGGAACTCTCATGTACTGTTGGTGGGAAGGCAAATTGAACATGCACTATGGAAAACAGTATGGAGGTTTTTGTGAAAATTAAAGATAGAAATAACATGATTCAGTGATTCTAGTGTTGGGTATTTACCCAAAGAAAATGAAAACACGGGGCGCCTGGGTGGCGCAGTCGGTTAAGCGTCCGACTTCAGCCAGGTCACGATCTCGCGGTCCGTGAGTTCGAGCTCCGAGTCAGACTCTGGCTCGGAGCCTGGAGCCTGTTTCCGATTCTGTGTCTCCCTCTCTCTCTGCCCCTCCCCCGTTCATGCTCTGTCTCTCTCTGTCCCAAAAATAAATAAAAAAAACGTTGAAAAAAAAAGAAAAAAAATTAAAAAAAAAAATAAAAAGAAAATGAAAACACAAATTTGAAAAGATATATGTACCCATATGTTTACTGCAGCATTATTTACAATAGCTAAGATATGGAAGCAACCCAGGTAGCAATCAATGGATGAAAGGATAAAGAAGATGTGGTATATATACAATGGATTATTA